GAAGATTTTGGAGATTGTTGGGGACACCTTCCTGGTGCAAATGCTGGAGTGGCCAACTAGGGGCCGTGTTCTTCTTGACCTGCTGCTCACAAACAGGGAAGAATTGGTGAGGAATGTAGCAGTGGATGGCAACTTGGGCAGCAGTGACTGTGAGTTGATAGAGTTCAGGTTCCTGAGGAAAGGAAAGATGGAGAGCAGCAGAGTAAGGACACTGGACTTCAGAAATGCAAGCTTCAAACTCACTCAGAGAACTCAGGGGCAGGATCCCCTGGGAAACCAGATGGAGGGGGAAAGGAGTCCAGGAGAGCTGGCTATACTTTAAGGAAGCCTTACTGAGAGTGCAGGAACAAGCCATGCCAATGCGCAGGAAAACTAGCAGGTATGGCAGAAAACCAGTTTGGCTTAGCAAGGAATTCTTCAGTAAACTAAATTACAAGAAGGCAGCTTATAAGAAGTGGAAACTTGAAGAAATAACTAGGGAAGAATATAAGAGCATTGCTCAGGCATGCAGGGACGAAGTTAGGAAGGCTAGCTGCAACTCCAATTGCACTTTAGCAAGGGATATGAAGGGTAACAAGAAGGGTTTCTACAAGTATGTTGGTAGCAAGAGGAGGATCAGGGAAAGTATGAGTCCTTTACTGAATGGGGGAGGCAACCTTGTGACAGGATGCAGAAAAGGCTGAAGTGCTCAATGCCTTTTTTGTCTCCGTCTTCACAGGCAAGATCAGTTTCCAGACTACTGCACTGGGGAGTACAGTTTGGGGAGAAGGTGAACATCCCTCAGTATTGAAAGAACAGGTTAGGGACTACTTAGAAAAGGTGGATAGGTACAAGTCCATGGGGCTAGATGGGATGTACCTGAGGGTGCTGAGGGAGTTGGCTGATATGATTGCAGAGCCATTGGCCATCATCTTTGAAAACTCATGGCGATCAGGAGAGGTCCTGGATAATTGGAAAAGGGAAAACATAGTTCCCATACTTAAGAAAGGGAAAATGGAGGGTCCAGGGAACTACAGAACAGTCAGCCTCACCTCAGATCCTGAAAAAATCAGGGAGCAGATCCTCAAAGAATCCATTTCTAAGCACTTAGAGGAGAAAAGGGACATTAGGAACAGTCAGCATGGATTCACCAAGGGCAAGTCATGCCTGACCAACCTGATTGCCTTCTATGACGAGGTGACTGGCTCTGTTGATAACGGAAGACCGGAAGAATAAGTGGGCATCCCGAGGCCAGTCTAGACATTGGCCCTCTCAGCTGTCTAGGGTTAACCGCCCACCTGCCTCGCCTACCACACTTTTGATGTCTCATTATGTTGTTCCCAGGCAGGAGGCTGCCCATTTAATTACCCTGATGTCAAGGGGCATATATACAGCTCCAAACCTTCCCTCATGCCATGTCCCATGCCTCATAGCTGGCATCCGTATCTAGCGTTACACCCCGGTCCCTTAGCTTGCCCCCCACCACCCAGCCTAAACCTACCTAGCCTCACCCAGCCTATCACACTCCGGTCCCTTAGCTGGAGTTCATCTAGTCCTACACCCTGCTTAGAGGAGAAACACCACTGTCTAAATCATCTCATCCCAGTATTTGTCTAACCTGCACTTAAAATGTTCCACTGATGTTCCACAATCTCTTCAAGTAATTTTTTCCAGTGTTTAACCATTCTCCATAGCTAGAAAGTTCTAATATCCAACCTGAATCTCTCATTGACCATGGCTACTTGTTGTCCCCTGTGGATAGAGAATAATTGATCATCATCCTTGCTTAGGTACATAGGGAGCAGGAGAAGGACAAATGGGAATGTGGGGCCATTGCTCAACAACTCAGGAGAGCTGATTACCAGTACCCATTTATATTATAGTGCTTACCTCCTTGCAGAGGGGCCAGGCAGGTGGGAGCCTGAGCCTGCATTTATCTTCTCACATCTCACTTATCTCCTCACACTTCATGGCACCCAGTGTAATTAGGGCAGGGTGACCAAAGCAGCCACCCTCAGTGCTGCAGCTGCGTGGGGCAGAGCTGGGGGAAAGAGAGGGGAAGAAACCCCACTTGCAACCCTGCCCTGGCCACCTGATTCCCCAAAACTTACCAGGTGTCTGGTCCTGGCACGGGATCAGAAGAGCCGGGACAGTGTCTCTGCTTATCCTCGGCAGAGTGGGGATGAGTTGCAGAGCCAGAAGCCAGTGCCAGAGACAACCACCGGCTCAAGCAGGCAGTTCTGCTGGGGGTGTGACTGGATCCTTAGATGCCTCCCAGGTGAGGCAGGAGCCAGCTGATCAGGAGCCATTCTCCCTTATAGTGGGAGAGAGGAGCTCCAGTTGTGCGGCTCAGACAGCAGGTGATTTGTCCTGGGAACTGGCCAGAAGCCTCAAAAGCTTCCAGGAAGCAAGACCCAGCAGTAAGCTGATGAGAGAGCACATCAGACAGTGGACAGGTGAGGAGCAGCTTGTCTGCTCATCTTTCTTTGTATTGATAACAAATGGACTCTTGGGGAATACCAGCCAAATTGGGCGCTTTCAGCCATGACGCTGGGTGCAGCTTTAACTGTGACTGATTATGACCCAGAGGTATGAGGCAGGAGTTGTAGGAGTGTTGGGGGTTGCTCATCCCAAGGTGGAGCACTTTACATGTTTCAACATTGAACTTCATCAGATTCCGATCCACCCAATTTGCTAGCCTGTCTACATCTGCCTGTATCTGTAGCCTATCTTCAAGTGTAACCATGCTTCCCCATAACTTGGTGTCAGCCATGAACTTGGCCAGTGAGCTCTTCACACCCACATTGAAATCAGTAATAAAGATGTTGAAAAGTACTGGACCAAGCACTGACTCCTGTGGGATGCTGATGCCCACTTCTCACCAGGATGACACAGATCCATTCACTACGACTCTCTGGGTCCTATCCTGCAGCCAGTTTCACACCCACCTGACGGTCTCAGAATTAAACCCACAACCCTCCAATTTTCTCATGAGGACATTGTGGGATACTAGATCAAAGGCCTTTTGGAAGTCAAGGTATACAATATCAACCTGCTGTCCTGTGTCCAGGTGGCGAGTTACCTGGTCATAGAAGGAGATGAGGTTGGTAAGGCAAGACCTGCCCAGGATAAAGTCATGCTGGCTGTCATTCAGAATCTTACCTTCTGCATGCTTATTTCAGATAGACTCCTTGATGGACTTTTCTAGGATTTTTCTTAGGATGGAAGTTAGGCTGACTGGCCTATAGTTACCCAGGTCCTCCCTTTTGCCCTTCTTGTGGGTGGGCACAACATTGGCCCTCTTCCAGTCCTCAGAGACTTCTCTAGAGTGCCACAAGTTATGGAAGAGTTTTGCATGGGGCTCTGCAATGACTTCGGCCAGCTCCTTCAGCACTCTTGGATGAAGATCATCCAGTCCCACTGACTTGTATATGTCTAATTTTTTTAATTGGTCATACACCAATTCTACAGCAATAGTAGGAAGGCGATTATTCCTACCGTGCTCATCGTGTATTCTACCTAGCATTGTTTTCCCCTTGGTCCAGTGAAAGACCAAGGCAAAGTAGTCATTCAGGAGTTCAGCTTTCTCCTGGGTGCTGGTAACCAGCTCTCCTGAGCTGCTGAGCAATGGCCCTACACTCCCATTTGTTTTCCTCCTGTTCCCTGTGTACCTAAAGAAGGACTTCTTGTTGTCCTTGATTCCTGTTGCTAATTGAAGTTCGGTTGTCACTTTAGCCTTTCTTATCTGTTCCCTGCAACTGCGGGCCATCTAGGTTCCCTCTTTCTTCTACGACTTCCACTTTCTGCCTCTACCCTTGGCCAGGTGGCTTAGATGACTCAGGACCCTAAATGGTGCAAGTGCTGTGCAGCAGTGGAAAGAGGGGGTGTGTGCCACACTGTGTGACCCCCAACTATTTAGAAGTTGGGCAGTCCTGGGCTAGAGTTAGGACAGGGCCTTGCAACACTTTGCTTCACAAAAGCCTGGAGAGCAAGGAAACAGTAGGCATCCATTCTGTGATCCTTCTGGGAGTACAAACACATGAAATGACCAATCCTTATGAGATGAAAACATAACAGTTGCCTGCATGTCAGATACTGATTAGGCTCTACCTCCGTCACTTGACTGTCCTCAGAAGCCACTTAGGGATTGTGGCTGAGAAAAGTACTGGGATTTCCACTCACCAGTCTCTCAGCAATGCAACAGCATTAGTTTCAGCCCTTTGAAGGGCATGTCTTTATTGTACTGAAGCGCTTCATATGCATGTCTGTCCATGCTCTATGATACAGTTTACTTTCAGTAGTCACTTGCATTAATTCTTCAAAATACAAGGCTTGCACATCTAGAATTTTTATATTATTGAGCATCTCTCAGTTGTACTGATGTCCAAGTGAGGAGGCATATTTTTGATAATGAATTTTATTAAAGAAAAATTATAATTTTATCTTTAAGAGTATCACAATACAAAAATGAAAACCCTTTTAATATGTTTTTTCTATGGCACCTATGGTAGAAATGTATGCTTTAAAAAGTCTTTCCTATCAAATTCCTAATTCCTCAAGTTGCTAGTCTCCTGGATGGTGAAAGCAAGTGTGCGTTAATATCATAACATGAAAAAAAAATAGAATTACAAAGATGTTCTTGAACGTGTAGTTTGGCTTGCAGAACATTTTATTGTGGTTTGATACATGAGAAGAAAAGAAACTTGTTTAATTCTCTGAGTACAAAAAGAATTTTGCAAAGCTTGAAATTAGGAAATATATTTAAATTGAATACACGTACTATGTATTCAATACAAATGGTATTGTGGAGTCCTATTCTTTACCCACGTACAGGGTGGAACCCTATTTCAAGGTGACATTTTGAAAAATTAGAGGGATTGTTTTTTACCTAAATGGAATAATATAAGTGAAAGCCAGGTAGAAAATAATGAGCTGAAACTAAAGGAAGCTAAAATATAAGGCATAGTGGGAGTAAGCATGCAACTAATTCTGCCTTGTTGATTTTGTTTGTTTCTTGACAGGAAATAGATGGTCAAGCACTCCTTCTGCTCACCTTGCCCACTGTTCAGGAGTGCATGGACCTGAAACTTGGGCCAGCCATTAAACTTTGTCATCATATTGAAAGAGTTAAATTTGCCTTTTATCAGCAGTTTGCTAACTGAGGGGCAACCAAGTCACAGTGGAAATTAGCACAACTCAAGCAACATACTCTTTCCTTTCTGGCAGAGAAAGCCAAAAGGGGTTAAACTGAGATGCCAGTTCTGGTGACCTACAAACTTCTGTCAGCCACAGTTTTGTGCTTTTGAAGGAAAGAAGAGCCCACCTGGAACAAAAGGCCAGTGCAAACTGAGCTTCCTGCTTGGGAGCATGATCATTCCCGCCTGCCTCCCTCCAGCCTGTTAGTTCTTTTTTAACTTTTTAAAGTAATTTTTAAATGTGGTTACAGAAAAGTTTCCAATGGCGAGGAACATTTCAAGAGTTCTGATGATGCAGAATTGAAAAAGAAGAAGTTGAAGTTGTGTTGAAACTGCAGGCTACTGGTAGACATCTTTTTTTTTATTTCTGACTATTCACAGAAGAATGCCTTCTCCATTTCCTGTCTGGGAAGAACGAAAGAACATTTTCTCTATTGTAGCACTGATTTTGGAATGTCCTCTTTGCACATCAGTACTTCTAATGCCTTTTTTAAAAACTAAAATAGCTCATTATCAGGACAGTGATGTCGCCACATGGTTCTAAATGCACAGGATTGCAAGTGTGTGTGTGTGTGTGTGTGTGTGTGTGTGTGTGTGTGTTCTCCCTACCTCTGTAGCTTAAGTGGTGATTTGGAATAGGGAGAGAGTGATTCTTTGGGAAATTCATTGACAGCTGCAGTTCTATAGACCTTAAAAGGGCAAAACAATATCAGCACAGAGTTCTGATCTCCCAGGTAAGCTCTGTTCTAAAGCCTTGGCAAAGAACTGTGTAGACTTATTTGGCATTTCAGGAGCATCATCTTTTTTGTAAAAAGAGGTTGGAAAATGCAGTGTGTTAATACTTTTTCTCTGGTGGACAGGCCATAGGACAGAAGATGGAAGAGGAAGATGCTGCTTTATCTCCATTTCCTGTACCTTGACTGTTGGATAAAATCGTTGATCCTCCCTTTTTAAAATATGGGTGAAATCTCTCTTCTCTCTTTCTATGCATATCAAGCAGCTATAGAATCATCTGGAAGGCTGCTGTTTTCCTGTCCCCACTTCATGAATGACAGGGCTGTACATATAAAAGTGGAAACTGCAATTTATAGTTCAGCCCCACCAGCATTAGCCGTAGTAAAAGCCGTAGTGGGAACACACCTCAGGTAAACTTTAATATTAAATTAGTGCACCATAGTTGAGCATGGGCAGGAGGCATTTTTCTCATGTCTACACCAGTTTCCACTAATGGAACTACACTACTGGAGAACTGCTGATTATAATTTCTTAGTGTAAATCAGTCCTGAATAGAATCCAGATTGTCACAATACAGAATCCTGCTTAACCCTTTGCCAACGAGCCAAGCTAACCTCACTGTCTGTTTCAAATTTGGTGTAGTTATTTTAAGCCTTGAACCCACTTGGGTTTCAGATTCTATGCATTGATCAACCTCTGTTTGAGTTTACACATGCATTTGAAGAACTGTGGCTGAGGCTTTATATACAGCTCGGAAACCAGAACACATCACCCCCATTCTTTCCTGTCCTCAAATGAATGTATGTATAAGGCCCCCAACATACAAAAGACATTTTAAGTAAGATGATAGTACTTAGCTTCCTGCCGGTGTGTGCTTGAGGAAGTGGTGCTGGAAAAACATTTCCTGGCTTCCAACTGTGCGGGCCGCCTCCCGATCCCATCCATGTCGCCATGTGCGAGCCGGGAGCGATATGCGGACCCGTCTTTGCGCACGCGGGCTGTGGCCAGCAGCCCGGGCACGCGGGGTCAGAGGAGACCGTGCGGCAGCAAGGCACGCACGGGCTAGAATTAGTCACAGATGTGTAGTGGTTGATTCAAAGATTATTTACTTACACCCAAGATGGTCGCCGTGTAGGCTGGACAGTTTCCAGGTTCAGCTCTGCTTAAATCCTTGTTGGAGGACTACGACAAATTCGGTTCTTGGGCCCCGGAGTTGTTAAGGCTCCGCGGGTTCGGCAATTTCTTTCCCACAGAGTTGTCGAAGCTCCGTGGGTTTGATTCGGCTCTCTGGCCCTGGAGTTGTTAAAGCTCCGTGGGTTTGGGTCTTGAGTATATAGGATAGGGATACGTCTAGGATTGTGCTCGGCAACGGGGAGAGGCCAGAGGCTGTTTAGACCTCTGTTGCCTTCTTAAGAAATGCGTTGGGTCCATAAGGATCTGCAGCGCTTAGAGATCTTCACGCTCTCCCTCTCGAACTCCAATTGCTCTCTCTCCAACTTGGGCGGAAACCACCCAAGCTCTTTATATGGCTAGCAAGCCAATTGCTAGCCGCCACGTGTGCATAATTTAACACAAGCCAATAATGGGGCTCGAATTAAAATACAAATGGCGGGAACTCCTTTGCACTGTGCATTTCTGAGATGCAAAAGAAATGCACCATGCAAAGAAAGCTACAAATTGGCGGGAAAATTCTCCGTTGCACCGGAGTTCTTCTGTGTACCAGAGAACTCCACCGTGCAAAGAAGCTGCAATTTAGCGGGAACACAATTTAGCAGTGCCGAAGCACACACAAAACAAAAACTCACAACTTTGGGTTGTGACACCAACATTTGCAGTACGTAGTCTGGCCATAGAAGCAATTCAGGTTCCACACAAGTCTACTGGTTGATTCATGCAGTATCTCTGGGACCAAACTTCTGGGTTCCATTAGGAAATGCCTTGCAAATTTAAAATGGTAGGTTTTACCTAGTTTTAGTGTCCACTCCTGGTTTATTCTTAATAGTAAGAAGGGGATAAATACAGCAAAGCTACCCACATGGTGAATAACTCTTAAGTAGAGAGGGCTTTTTTTGCTGCATGTCCCTTAAAATAGCTCAGTAAAGACAAAAAAATATTTGGAGAAATGGTAAATTCCAAAAAATTCTTCTCCCCCTCAAAATGGAATGCTACATGCAAGACTGACTATTTACCAGTTAGTATCCTTCAGGCAAATGATGTATGTGTAAGGATGAAACATATACACTCTGTCAAGCTTCAGCCAGCTAGGCTGAAAACATTATTATTGAAATCTTGACCTAACTTTCTCCCGATACATACCCAGTAATAAATATTTCTGCTCTCCCAAATTTTTCCTAGGTCACGTGCTCACACTCCTTTCCCCAGTATCTGCTAACTGGCAAGCCTGGGAGTCTGAAATACACTATGGAAAGGCATGGTTGCTGACTTATTACCAGCATTTTGCCTTGAAATTGAACAGTTGTCAAATATTTCTGGGACCCTCATTCAATTACAAGAAAAGCTGACTCTAAACTGAAGTGACAGGTCTGGAGACAAGAATTTTGCATATTTCTTCTGATGAAAAATAAGCATCTTTAGGTAAAGGCCAGCAAGGAAAAAAAGCTAAACATAAAGAGAGTTTTTAATGACCTTCTTAACATAAAGTTTAAGTTTTTGTTTTACAATAAACATTTCATACTCCCATTTGTCATTGTGAGTAAACAGTCAGCTGCTTCAGAGGTCAGTGAGGTAGATACTGGTCTCCTTTGGGTGTATTGTAGGGTGCTTTCTACTGCCTTACCTTAGAAGGCATTGGCAGCATGATCCCAATGGGATCTATTTTTTTTCAGATTTTCGAAAGGGATATTTTCCATTATTTGTACCAAGTTTTTATGCTGTACACGGATGGGTACCTGTACACTTCATTTTGGGGGGAAATGCATTCTGTCTTTGTTGCTGGATTAAAAAGGGAGAATTGGGGATTATCCTTAGGTGTAATCTTTTTACTTGATTCTGTTTATATCTGCACAGAAAGGAAAAATTTGGCTGAGGCTATATCTGTTGATCTTGTACTGACAACTTACACTAGGCTCACATGCTATTTAAATGCCTCTGTTTCTTGAGAATGAATTTTAAGTACCTTGATGGGTGAATCTTGGCATTAGTTTAACCATGTCCCCACTAGAAGTTGATATGGCACTGCCCCTGCATTTTGGTTTCAGGTTTTATAGTGTATCTACATACCATAAGAACTGGGGGAGGGGTAAAAGAGGGCAAGAGGGTTTCACATGCATCTAGATAACCTTCCATGCAGTAAAATGAACTCCTTACTAGGTACCATTTTTTATATTTACAAAAAGAGAAGGATATCTGTTGAACTTGTACTGACAATTTATACTAGGCTCACATGCTATTTAAATTATTTAGCTGACCTGTTCAGGGACAAATGATTGTCTTCCTCTTCCCTTCATTTATCTCTTTATAAACTTGAACGACAACATTATACAGTCTGAATTGCACATCATAACTAAAGCCCCCCTCTGTGCTTTACATTTATGCCACAATTCATTAATGTGTTAATCATGGCACAAATAGGAAGGGTGCACCCAATTGTAGGCACTATAAAATGGGGAACAAGCCATAAAAATATTCGATGTTTGTATGATGTCAGCAATCAGCTGACCATTGATCCTGGGGCCCACACTGCACTGGACTTTGGAAGGTCCCAAGATTGACAATCAGCTGATTAATGGCCCCATCCAGACACTGGGTGTTGTGGTTTCATAGTTTCATAGTAGCTAGGGTCAGGAGGGACCTGATCAGATCATCTAGCCTGACCCCCTGCCACAGGCAGGAATGATTGTTGGGGTCACAAGAACTGGTGCTGGGGAGAACCAAAGAATTTCCCTCACCAAGGACTTTAAGCACTGGCCTGGGCAGCCCAGCCAGAGTTGCCTGAGGGGAGTGAGTGGAGGCTTCCAGCAGGTAGAGACTTTGGCTTCCCTTACCGGAGACTTTAAACTCTGCATCAGACAGCTCTGGGCAGGCTCCCCAGCTCAGGGGAACAGAGCCTCTGTTCCCCACATCAGGCAAGCCCCACCAGAACTTCCAGGTGAAGAGTTCTGAAAAATCAGCTGACTGTCTGTTTCGCCCTAGACAGCCTTGAGTCTCAAACTTGGGGCTGTCTGAGCCAGGGCCAACAATCAGCTGAATATCTGTCCTGACAGCCCTGGATGACCCGGACCTGGGACTGGCTGGGTTTGTGACCAACAATCAGCTCATTGTCAACCCCACAAGTGAGCACTGAGCTTTCAGTTCGCCAGTGCGAAGAGAGCCTGGTCTCTCCCAGCAGTGGCAAGTAGTGATGGCACTATTAGGATCTGACCCCTGATCCCAAAAGCATGCCCCCTGCCATGCACGTGTGCTATAGCAGGAGGCACAATTGTTGGGATAAGGGATCAAATTCCATCACACCATTAAATGAACACATACTTAGCTGCATTTTAGTGCACACATTTAGCTATATTTAGCCTTATTGAACATCATTTCTTTAGTGGGCATTGATATGGTATTTTCTACATCAGAAATGAATGAACCAATAGGAGAGAGGTTCTTGGTCTCCACAAATTTGCATCTACATGAAAAGTTGACATGTCCCAACCATTTACCCATTTCAAGAAAATCTTGCCACATACTCTACAGAATGGGCAGAGATGAAGGGAAAGGTAACTTTCCAAAAAGAGAGGTGCAGGACTGATCTCACTGAAGTAGCACTACTTACTTTTCTTCTGATACTAGAAATGTGAACATAAAAATATGAAAATATTATGGATGTGAATGTAAAAATAGCTGGTTGGAGGACAGAGCCACATAAACCTGGGGATGGTACAGAAGGACAGGGAGCTTGTCAACCTCTGTGGGATTGATGGAGAAATTTTGGAATGGTTTCTAGACTTGACTTTGGTCACAATTTTAACTGTTCTGTCTTGGTGGTAGGCTTTCAAATGATGCTTTGAAGAAGGGAGGCTTGGTCAGGTGCCTACACCACAGCAATATAAATATATGCTATTTGCTAGTTTAAGCACTCAGTTTTTTCATATTACGTACCAAGATTTTTTACATTAATAGCAGAAGACTAGCCATGAGATTTTGACAGCAGCTAAATAAAATGAACAAACCTGAGACTTCAGCGTGGGTAGGAAATGGATGCCTTTGCTCCTCATCCACATGTTTTACTTTGGGCAAAGCAACAAGCAAATATGTTGAAAAAGAGAAGTCTGGGTTGAGGTATCCTTACCATAAGGCCAAAACTATAATAGTCCTATTCCTAATTCCTCCATCCTAACCAATCATACAGCATAACTGCAAGATAGTTACTGCCAGCTGTTATTTCAGAATACCTAAAATAAGCACAAAGTATGTCTGTCTAAAGTTTTTAAAAATATAGGCCAGAAACTGAATTTCAAAAGGATGTGCTGAGGCCTTCTTTAGAAGTATTATCTGACTTGTTCCCCAAATCATACTAATAGCTTTGTTTTCAAAAGCAGCCTTATAGGTGAAGAGAGTGAGGTTTGGATACCGAATACAGTGCAAGCTGCTTTATTTTCATGACTCCTTTTAAATTGTATCTGAAATCTAAAAAGCAAAAACAAGAGTCTGCATGCTCAGTAAAGGTTAAATCTATCATGGTGTTGAAGTACACCATACAAAACAGATGGAATTGTGATCAGCAGATACTTGTTCTATTTAATCTAAGACCAGTCAGCAGGTCTCACTAGCAAAATTCAGAGACAGGATCTAACTAATATACCATAAGCAGAGACATCTGTTGCAGTCTATGGTTCTACTGAACTATGGTTACAGAGCCTCTGAAAGTCTTCAGCATTGTAGAGCATCTGGAAAACAGGCAGCCCAGTCTGAGTAGTGCAGGAGGGGTGAGTCTTGGTCAAGTT